TCCAACCTAGATGATTCTATGATTCTATGATTCTATGTTATGAAAATAGCAAATGATATCCCTAACAACCTTTCTGGAAAGGTGTTCTGGAGTGCCAGCACTTTTGGGCAAGGATGTTATTTTAGACCACCCAAATCAGCCCCCAATAGGCTGAAAATTAGCTCTGCCTTTTTCTGATGAAAAGAAGAATTAGGCCAGTTCTGGAAGGTTATCACAGACTGCAGTAACTGCAGTCTTGGGAGCAGGAAGGCTTCTGGCTTCCCCTGGGGATTTGCACAGCCCATAGGGTTTATTAAGGCCACATTTACCCATCTGAATCTGTTTGTCTTTTACCCTGCAACAATACAAGGACTAAGCTGCACCAAATCAGAAGTAGTGAAGAGTCACCTTTGATGATGTTTCCATTGACAGGCAGATGTTGACATGTTTAAGGGAAGTGATTGATGTTGAAAGGGGAAGGGAGGAGGAATGGGGCGCTCTGGCTCTAGTGGGAGAGGATGAAAACATGACACCTATCACAATTGAGAGTACTCTGATGATGAACTGCAGATGCATCATTTTTGTAAGCAATTATGAAATTTTCATCACAGAAGGTTCAAAGCAAACTGTATACCACCATCTGTTTCTCCAGTGAAGGCAGACTCTGAGAATGTTTTGGGCTTCTGTTGAGCAAGGGGCAAGTTGATTACAAAATAACACAGAATTAACATATTAATTAAAAAGTCATCCCTGTAATTGGCTACATAATCCAATATTTCATGTTAATCAAACCCACTAGGAATGCTGACTGAGTGTTCCAGTTGGTACTTCTATGTTAAATAACTTTGCACAGAAAAATTAAAGTAAAATTCTTTCAGTGGGCAACTGGAATAATATGGAAGTGTCCTAACTAGAACTTGTAATGTCCATAATGCATTAAACTCAGAAAGTTTTAAATATGTCAGTTTCAAATTGGAGGAAAACATAATAGAAATGTTTCTTGTCACACAAGAACAAATACGTCTTGCATTTTTATATAAAAAGTGTTTCAATCAACCATTAAAAGGCTAAGAGACAGTAATATCTGATTTTGTAGGTTTAGTAACAGGGTTTCTCTGCTCAGGGTGACTCTTCAATCTTAACATGAATTTAAAAAGGATGTAACTTTAAAAGTGACATCATAAAATTTAGTATTAACCCTTTATTTGAACGTGCTAATTCACAGTTCAAATGGTATCCATTTGATGTAACATAATTTACCTCTGAAGAAAACTGAATGAAACTGAGTGAAGACCATTCTCATCTCTAATAAACATGTCTAGTAGTCCCCACTGCATTTTAAAAGATTTTCAGATTAACTGTAGTGAGTGACTCCTTCTATAGAGAAATTGCTCCATCGCCAGCTCCTTGCATCTCCAGAATGAATCATTTCAATGTTAAGAAAATTAATCATGGTGCTATCTTTCAAAATAAAATTGTCCAATTATTTTGTTACAGTGTAATGGGATACTCTCATTTAGACAAATAGATACGGTGTTTCAGTCAGTGTGTAGTTTAAGCTGCCATTCAAACTAATGAAACACTTCCAACATGGTGTGGCCCTGTTTTAATTTACCAGTGGTAGCAGGACTCTACATTATTATTGCTAATTATTGCTGACAAGCCATGCTAATATGCAAAAAAGTAGATAAAACACTCAAAAGAAAATGAAAAAGAAATTTAAATGTTCCAATTTGAAAAAAGAAGGAAATACTTTCCTGCTTTCACTATTAAAATTGTCACGTGTCTGTATGTTTTCCTTTTTTCAGGCCTATTGGAATGTCATTTAAAAATGACAAATACTTTCTGACCAGCTTAGGTTGGAAAGCTTAATTCTTTGTTAGAGTTAGGAACATGTAACTTGAAATAGGCATTAGAATGATAGCTGGCCTATGATAGAAATAAATCTCATGTCTGGAAGGGAAGTGGTTCCATTCCCATTAGGTATTTTCAAGACACGTAATGATGTGGGATTCTATGATATTATGCCTCCAAAGCAGGGCGCTTTTTTTCTTCATCTGAAGGATCTCTGCTGGGTCTATTGTCCACTCACTCAAAGTTAGTAGTGCATTCCTCTAGATGCCTTTTGGTGAGCTTGGCCTACTAGAAGCGTCATGAAAATTTAGTCCTAGGTGGGATACAAAGTCAGAAGCTTTTAAAGCACTGTGGTAAATGCCACGTCCTGGCCCAGTGTTACTGCTGTGCCAGGACCCAGGCAGGCAGCTGCAAGTTCCTAGTATTGCCTTCCAAAGGCCCACTGTTGACCCACCTGTGGCACAGGACCCTCGGCAGATTGGCAGTACAACTATCACCATGGCCATGCATACATCTGGTTGTATGAAAACAGGCACCTCTAAGGTGACTACAGAAGCTTTCCGTACCATTGTCTGAGCTTGTGTTTTCTTTCTCTGTCTTTACTTCCTCAAGCTACATAGCAAATGGCCCAGTGTGCAATCATGCTATCATCTTAGTGTGGTGTACTTCCACTGGAAGGTGGTCCCCTCACTTCAAACAGACAAACAGTAAGGACAGAGTGTCCACTGTGCTATTAAAAATACATGTGAATTTTTGTATTCTGAGCTGATAAAACTAATTGCATTTGTTTTCTCTGCAGATGGAGTTTTGCCCCATCCACATGCTTTCTGTAAGAATCATACAAGCCAAGAACATCAAGTCAAGAGACCTGTGTGAGTTGTGGTTTGATTGTGTTTTTAGTCACCTCTGGAGTTTACACAATGAGCAATGTTCCTAAGTTCTGAAGGTATACAAGCAGCATACATAAAGCAGAGCAATAGAAATACTAGTGCCAGGGCTATAATTAGATCAAATGTCTGAGGTATCATTAGATTGGAGGACATATCTAGTGGCATTTCAGGGAACTGGTAAAAAACAAGACTCCCAGATGAATTTTCTGGGCCAGTAAGGGAAGGTAGACCTTGTGAGGGCACTGCAATCTGTAAATGTGCTTGGAGTTGTTTATTTTTGATGGTCATAATGGTATAAATCATATCATGGACTCGAATTTTGCCATACAGGCCATGTGTTTAGGAACCTTTTATTGAAATGTATCAATTACACATGATAATCAAAGTTAAATTAGAGAATTCAAAAAATACAGTATCATTCGGGGTATTTGCTGTCCTCAGATGACCAGTCATGTTAAATTATATTGATAGTTTCTGGTTAAGAAGGGCCTCTGCAGATCCAGCCCTAAGCACATGCTGAACATGCAGGCAAAACAGACTTTTCTGTGTACTTTTGTATTCAACTTTCTTTAACTCATTATCTCACCCTCACAGCCTCCTATGGCTCCCTCTCAAGGTGTACTATGGACCAGCCGTTCAGCTGCTATTTTTGCAGAGGTCTCCTATGGGTTCCTCGGTCAAGACAAGGACCTTGAACTGCCTTTTCTCACACTCTTGAAACCTCTGTCCTGTGTATTCCTCTAGTGAAAACCAACATGTTCAGCCAAAAAAGTGTCACTTTGCACTGAGTTACTTGAGTTACAGCTGAGACCCTTTGTGTCTTGCCGTGCAGGGCTGAGCACAACCTTGGCCAAGCCCGGATGTGAGGGAGACCAGAGGGAGCGAACCCCATGCGGGTCGAGTAACTGCCTGCTACAGGCTTCCTGTACTCCTGTGGCAAATATCATGTAGCAGCGCCCAGAGGTGGACACTAGAAAGGTGGTAGTGTGGTGAGGCCTGTATTTCTGAGTTTCAATGATCTCTTCTATCTACTCTATTGAAGGGACAGTTCCACTTTCCTGCCAAAACCTTGCGGGGCAATGTTATTCACTGCTTGATACCAGTCTGAAGTATTTAGGCATCTCGGGCTGCAGTAGAAATCTTCAGTCAAGTCCAGACTCCAGCTCTGAAAGACATCACCTTGGAGATTTCCTTTCACACCGTTGTCAAGCTTCACAAAGTAAATGCGATTTCCCACCCTGGCTCTTCCCAAAGGATGGCTGCTCGAGGCACTGACTGCACTAACCATAAGGAATAGATGTAGGCTGGAAGTGAGATGAAGATTTCCGACTTGCTCATGCCCTCGTGTTCTGGGGCCTACACCGGCCTTTAGCTGCAACGGATCTCCTTTAGTACCTAACCCTTCTAGATAGCTGTCATGTCCCCTCTGCATGTTTGTGCTGCTAGACTGAGCAAGCCAGTCTCCTCTGATCTTCTCTGTAATATATGTTCTTTCCTGTAATCATCCTAACAGCCCTTTTTGGAACTAGCTTTAGTTTCAGTGAAACTTTTTTAAACATAGGTGACTGGAATTGTAGGGAATATGCCTGATGAATGGTCAGTGGGGTCTTTTATACCTTTCTCTTCACATGGGAAACACGGCTCTTAGTGTACTTTGTGTGTGCATGTGTACATTTGCAATTTGTAGTTACCCAGGTATTAGTATACCAAGATGGTATACTTCCAACCAATGGTCTCTTTACTTATTAAAAAAACCCCAAAAGTAGTATTTATTAGTCCCCAGAATCATGGCCGTGCCCTACTTTTCATCTATAATATTGGCATTGGGTTTTTATTTTTTTTCTGTGCAGTGACTGCATCAGACTGCTATGTGCGCTTGTGGCTGCCGTCTGCTTCAAATAGAAAGCTTCAGACCAAAACCATCAAGAATTCTGACAACCCTGTCTGGAATGAGATGTTCTACTTTAGGATCCAGAGAGAAGTTGAGGTAGAAATTTCACCATTTTGAATAGCCGGGAATCCTCAGTTGACACCCTGTTGATCAACTGTGCTAAATAACTTAAGAAAATGCTTGTGTAACAGAATTAGCAACTGCCAGGTTAACCCAAAACAGCAGACGTATGTAGTAGTGTTCCCCTCACCTAGTTATACACATCAGTTATATGAAATGCCTACATCTGAGCTAGTCCAGATTCCCTTTGTTGTCACCTGAGAGAAATAAGTACTGCTGTAGCATGCTTTGTCTGGGCTATTTTGAATGGTTAATTTAGAAAGAGTTTTTCCTCTGTTGGTTTTAAGGGAAGGGTGGAGAAGTTGCTGTGGAGTAGGCAGCAAATTTAATCCTACCCTAAGCTGTGTAGTTAAGAGAATTTTGGGGATGAGGAAACTAAGTGAGTTCTTTGGGCGGGTTATCAGTGCAGTGCAGTGCACTGACATCTTTTCTGTCTCAGGATAGTGGGAGCACTCTGTTATAGATAGTTGCCTTCTATTCCACGACAAGTTTCCCAAGGTTGGGTTTAATGACGGTGTTCCACATTAGCAAACTGCTGAAGGAAAGACCGTGCTTCTTTATTCTTACCACTGTGCTAGTCAATCAGCTGCAAAAGTCTATAACCATTTTTTTGTTTCTGTGTAATAGCAGCTAAATAAGAGTTCTTATTTGTTTTCTTCTACTACCAGAACATTTTAGAATTGGCAGTGTGTGATGAAGATCCGCTCACCAAAGATGACATGCAGTTCACAGTTCTTTTTAATGTTGCTAGAATCAGACCCGGAGAGACACTCCGTGAGATATTTGCTTTGAAATCAGAGGTAAGGGCTGAAAAAACATGGAGAGATCAGCAAGACCTCATTGTCCACATTGGTTTCCATGTTAAGTAAGACTTGGGTCTGCATAAACAGGTATCCATATGTATTGGTATCATTATCAATATTTCATCAAAACAGATATAATTGTGCTGGATTTTTGTGACTTCATTAACCTCTTTTCACAGATTCAGAAAATGAAGCCGCCTCTCTCTCATGCCCACCGTCTCTGTGGGGACAAAATATGTTAACAGTTAGCATCTGTAAATAGTCATGTTTATCTTTGTCGTGGTTTGACCCCAGTCGGCAACTAAGCACCACACAGCCGCTCGCTCACCCTCTCCCCACCAGTGGGATGGGGGAGAGAATCGGAAAAGAAAAGAAGTAAAACCTGTGGGTTGAGATAAAGGCAGTTTAATAGGATGGCAAAGAAAGAGAAAGTAATAATAATAATAATGGTAAAAGAATATGCAAAACAAGCGATGCACAATGCAATTGCTCACCAGCCACTGACCGATGCCCAGCCAGTCCCCAAGCACCGATCTCTGCCCCCCAGCCAGCTCACCCCAGTATATATTCTGAGCATGACATTATATGGTATGGAATAGCCCTTCGGTCAGTTTGGGTCAGCTGTCCTGGCTGTGCTCCCCCCCAGCTTCTTGAGCACCTGGCAGAGCACGGGAAGCTAAAAAGTCCTTGACTAGTATAAACGCTACTTGGCAACAATTAAAACAATTATTATTATTATCAACAGTTAATATTATTATCAACATTATTCTCATGCTAAATCCAAAACACAGCTCTATACCAGCTACTAGGAAGAAAATTAACTCCATCCCAGCTGAAATCAGGACAATCTTTCACAATCCAAATAAATAACTTCCTTAGGTTTTGGCTTTATTCCACTTTTTCTGTGCTGAGAGGACATTTCCTGTTAAATGGCAACTTTTATTAAAAACATGAAGACAATCCACTCACCACTTGAATTAAATGATTCTTTCAGGCTTGTCCTATTGGTGTTCATGCTGGGTTTCCTTCCAGGTGATTCAGGTTTCTCTAGCCCATAGTAAAAGGATGCCTGTTCTGCTAACATCTTTGGTATTCTGTTAAGAAGCCCATGAAAGAGAGTTGTCCAGAGAACAAAGCTTGGGTAGGTCTGTGACAACTCCTGGGCTTGTCTGAGCTGTGGCTGAGGCATTGCTGCATGCTCATTGCAGGAAGGAGACAGTCCGTACCCAAAAGAACAACTACTTCCCTAAATGCTGAAAGCTATTAATGTGGATCTTCCTAGTGACTCTGCAGGCTGGTGCCATGCACTTAGCCAGTGGGCGAGTCACTGGGAAATATAACGAATCAGTCCAGTCCCGAGTACTCTTGCCTACTTCATCTCTGCTGGATTGAGTGTGAATGTGATTTAAATGGTTTGTACATGGAAACAACACTGGTGTTAGTTACATTTGTTGCTGGGCTTCAATGCCTTTCCCCCACGCACACCATCTTCACAGAAAGCTATAATATTTCTGTTTCAGTCAAGCTTTCCCTCTCTGATTGTATCTTTGGAAATATATATAATTCTGCATATCCCACAATGGGAGAATATTAATCTTCCCAAGGCTGTGGTTTCCATTGCAATCTCAGCTTTGGAAAGCGGTAATACACAGCTTTTTTGGTAACATTAGCAGAAGAGATGTCAGCCATGGAAGTGCTTTTTAGATGTGTCTATAGTGCCAAATTCTTGCAGCCTCCAATAATCCATATTTATTTTACCCTTTTCTTTTTAGAATGAGAGGTGCACTAAGAAATGGGAAAGTTTGGAAGTGGAATTCTGGATGGAAAGAATGTGAGTAAAATTCCAAAGCTGAAAGTTATGGATCTGCCAGGGAGCAATAATATCTCGGAGAAAGAGGAACTTCTTCCAGCTCTTCCTCCCAGCAGTGAGCCAAAATCACTGTTTCAACCTTTTTTTTACCTTAACTTCCCCAGCTAATTCTGCCTTTCAGTGTATTTCATAAATGTAGTAACATTGGCACAGTGTGATACTTCTACACAAGATGCATGTAAAACTTAGCAGAGGTGCTCTTCAAGTTGTTAATGTTAATTGAACAATGCCTAGAACACTTGTGGTGTTTCTAAAAGACCGGGAAACTTGTTTTGTATTATTGTTATAATATATACATAGAGTTATGTAGACAGTATTAGAAAAGTCACCCATGAGGCAGTAGCTTAGTTAAACTGAAAAAACATACAATCAACAAATAATAAAATTAAGACCACCCCCCCCAAAGTGATAATCAACATTGTCTGGAGGAAAAGAAATCCATGAGATAAACTTTATCTCTCTTTTAAATGCTGTCAGAAGTTTGGTTGAAAAAAGCCCCTAAACTACTTGTTCTGGCATATTTGAGCTTAGCATTACCAAAAAAAAGGAATATAGTCCAGTCAAAACTGACTAACTGCATGATTAGAAGAAGGAACTGTAAATAAGGCTTCTTATTTAGAGGTAAAACATGGAAAGGCTGCAGAAGCAAATCACTGGTGTTCTTGGTTAATTCCTCCCACAGTGAAATTCAAGAAAATCTATTTAATTTATGTATGAGAGATACCTTAAAAGATGGTATAAGCATATCCTGTGAATGTGGAAGCAATCACAGCCAGATATATAAAAAGGACAGAATGAGATGCAGTGCTTGGAAACTGGACTGAGTAGATTCAGATTAGAAATAAGAGGAACATCTTTCACCATTCAAGTTATATGGCATGTGCAGGATTCTCTATCCTTGGAAGTCAAACCTAGTTAGTTACATTTAAATACATTCTACAGCTGAAATAGAATTTTAAGGCTGGAAGTGGTGCTTGGTAAAATACCCTGCAGAAAGTCAAAGATTACATACTACATAACTTTAATGGTCCTTTCAGATATATGAAAGCATTTTTGAATGTGTGTAACAGAATGATGTTGGAGTATTGGCCTTAATGAGAGATGCTGTTAGTAGACTTTATAGATTACTCATAGTATTAAATAACTACATCCATTCAGTGACCGACCTAGGTCTTACAAGGTAAAATATCTGGGACAAAGACTTTTTATTACTTACCTCTGTGTTTTCCAGTCATACATACAGCACAGTGGGAGCTAATTCTTATTTGCCATTCAGTTGTGATCAGTTGTAAATTATAATCTGGAACAGTCAGAAATGTCTTTCCTAATAAGTATTTGCAGAATACATTAATAGTAGTCTTTGCTTTCCCTAAGTCATATGGTCATTTGTTAATAGCAGGACATGATTCCACATAGACCAATATGTCTTTGTTCTGCTGTATCTTAGCATATAGTTTTAAGCATTGGTATTTTTTTGGGCTCTCCTGCCTTTCTTCTTGTTTGGCTACTACATTTTGGTTCATGACCTTAGCAGGTGATTATGTATTATGCCTTTTAGAAAACAAATTGTGATAGTAAAATAACTGTATGCAATTTTAAGCAGAAAAGGTCATAAAACTACAATTTTTAAAAAATACCAGATACTCACACAGCTTTTGTTTGTTTTTTCATTCTGTCTTTTCAGTCCTGGCCCTCCAGAGCACATCATTACCAATGATGTCCTAGTGGTAAGGTTCACATATGAATTTAGCTTGGGGTGACTTTTCCTCATTTTGATTCTCGCCTCTTCCCCCCAACCATCTGACATTTTATAGAGAGAACAGAAGCTACCATGATAGATAAGAGCATGGTGTGCATTATAAAGTGAAAGATGTGGGACGATTCCCATTCGTTATGGCTTAACTGTTGCACTCTCCATGCAAAAATAGAAGCTGTGTTTCTTGAAGTCCTCAGATATTACAGATGCCAATATTTTGCCCAGCTGTGGTTTATTAATGTTGCAGAACCCCATATTTGTTGGTGTTCAAAGTGAAAACTGCTTGTGTTTCATATAATATAGTATGGCACTTGGCAGGAAAAACAAAGGTTATAAAGGGGATGACAGTGTAGAAGGCAATAGTGAGTATTCAGTGTGCTTATGACTGGAAGGTTATCTAATGTAACAGCTCTTTGGGAAATGAGTTTTTTAAAAAAGAGTTATTTTAGCTGTTGAAACACAGAGTCCTCTTTTGGTATTAGTCATCATGTGGTACATTACCTATCTCCTTGGGCTGGCCCAGCAGCTAAGGAGTACAAAGTACTTCATGCCAACCACTCCAAGCCTGTGCATGATTTCCAGATGCTAGCCTTTAATACCCTTGAGGCAAAGTAACACATATTCTGTTCTTTCCCCCTCATTTTCTGTGTGAGGCATAAGAGCTGTAATGATTGGCATGCATTGTTCCTGAAATGGCTTGGAAAACTGTCCTGGCATGAGTTATTAAAGGTGAACTGGAATGACTCAGGTGGAGGGTAGGGTGGAATAAATCCATGATCTCCCTACATCAGGACCAGCAAGAAGATGCCTTGCAGACTAATCACTGCCACAATACACAGAAACTCATCATCAGGTGTCTTCCCGCACCCTTCCTAAATAATTATCAGATATATGTGCAGCAGTTTGGGCAACAGTGTGTTGTACAGAGTTTCCTGATTTTGGGATAATTTGAATGGGTATAACAACCTCTGGCAATGCACCATGGTATGGACAAGCTAGTTCTGAAGCAGTGTAACTGGGCTACTGTCCTGGGATAATGAGCTCTGAATTTACTCTTGTGCAGCTGGATTGCTTCCAGCATAGAGACCAGTTTAGTTGGCTCTATATTATAGCTAGTGGTTGCCTGCATGATGTTTCATTATTTGCTGCAGATGTGGCATTTGCTATCTTCACACTTTCCCAATCCTGTCTTTTACAGTCCCGTGAGGTTTGCTGCTTGGAAGTGCAAGTGGACATTAATGAAAGCAGGAGGTATTTGAAAGGTATGCCAATTTCTCTGTGAAGTGAGGACATGACCAAATCAACCCTATCATAGTCATTCAGACCCAGATGGAGGCACTTTAGGATACAGAGACGACTAAATGTTCTGAAGACAATAAAACATAACACAGTGAAAGTCCCTGAACGGCCTCCAGTTGCAATGCTGATCTCTGTGTCTTTTCCTTGAAGCTCTCAAATTTGGACACAGTAATCTTTGCTGGTGGAAGTATGAGAGAGTGCTGACTCTGGGAGCACTCCAGGCTATGGGGTAAAGGGAGGAGGACCAGTTCCTGTGCTGTAGGAGACTTGCCAGTGTGGCAGCTTACGGAGGAGTTACCACAGAGAATGACTCCAGCAGAAAGTTTACCAACTTTGTTAGCTATTTTACCCGAACAACGGTATTATCCTCTAAACAAATCTGTTTTCACTAGAGGGTAAAAATCTCGTGCTTACGGTGTCTGCATCTCATGAGGGAACACAGAAAACTACAGAGGACACAGATACTTTCTACTTCCATTGTGTGAAGGCTTGGGAACCAGTTCTAAAAATCAGGCTGCAGGTAATGGGCACTATACATTACTACTGTTCATACTGCTTGCTTATTTCCAGTGTCACCAAAACAGTGAAGAACTGGATTGTTTCTATTCTATGAATAACAAACATGTTTTTTGTTCTCTGTAGAAAGTTTGTGATAAGGAAGATGACAATAGCAATTTAAGTGACATCTTAACAGTACCACTGAAATTTCTTCCTGTTGGACATAAAGTGAAAGTAATCCTCCCTGTAAGACATGTAAGTGCTTCACCATTTATGTGATCTTTTGGAGAGAAGAGCAGAGTAACCCTCAGTATTTAACACCATAACATTTTAAAAAAAAATTCAGTTAGTAAGTCTGAGTGAGAATTTTGTGCAAATACAAGTTTTCTGTGAAAAAGGTTAGTTTTCTCAGAGAAATACCCATTTTCTGTCCATAAAATTAGTAATTGGGAATTCATCCTGGCCAGTTTTAGATGCATTTAAGACCAACTTCTGCTGTCCTTACATGGTTAAAAGACAATATTCAATACCCCTAGCAAGGCTTTGGGATGCCCCACTGCTCTTTATCAAGCCTGGGTGGCTGGCTCAGTCTGTATACCTAAATTTTAGATGGCTAAAGTTAGATGAGTCAAATCTTGCCCTCAGAGAACAATTCTGTCACTTTCTTCTATGCGTACAGTCAGGATGGTAACTGGTGGAGAGATACAACTCGAAGTTGCTTTAAAAGCAGTAGTAATGCTGCTGTGTGGCCAGGTGAATCTGATAACAACAGCCAGACATCCTTTCCCAGACCTTGCAGCAAATGAGAGGCAAAAATAGGAGGAGAAGAATTTCTCAGCAGCCTTTCCCATAAAGAGAAGGGAGAATGAATGTCTGTTTCACCACTAGTGATTCCCCACCCCTCTGTTTGGACTCTTTTTTACCTCCAGTAGGTTTTTGGAAGGATGTGGTGACTTGTATTTCCTCTTCTATCACTGTCCTTATCTGGCTACTGCTCTTCATCCTCAAGAACAGGAGGGTGGCAATGTGATGCTGCTGCTGGGTTAGGATGGTACATGGAGGTATATTCACAGTGAGGAAGAAATCCTGTTTCACAGCCCATTCATCTAGTCACTTCGACTCCTCCTGCCTCTTTTGCTTCTCTGTAGAATATGTTCGGTATTTAGTTGCTTTCCTTCTCTTTCCCACTACAGTTTTCCAAAAAACTGTATGCAGGGTGGTAGTGGTGGGGCATTCCAGGAGACGCTGAAAATCAGCATTTCAAAACTTCTCTTTTTCCCAGTCATTCATGTTCCTACTCTCATTTCTTTGTTTACAGAATGTGCCACTGCAGTTGTACCTCCAACTAAATGATTGGTAAGAGGACTGTTTTTTTCTCTAAAGGTTTTTTTTTGCTCTTTGAACTGTGAATTCTAGAACAGAGTATCCTTTATTTAGATACAAGGAATGCACAAGTCTAGGGGCAAAATATAACAATAGTTAATTCACCGTTGAAGAGTCATCAACAACAGATCAAAGTTAAATGTCCTTGGGGCAAAAGAGTCATGCCAAGATGCAAAAAAAAAATTATAAGAATTTTGAACAGTGAGTAGCATAGTTGCTCAGTGTCCTTTGCATCAAAGAACCAAAGACTGAGATTGGAGGCTTCTTCCAAAGGGACACAAAAGCGGGAAGAAGGCAGAGAGAAAAGGGAATCTGAAATAAGCAAAACATCCAGAGTCCATACATTACTTAAACCACACAGGTATTCTTAAGAAAATAGATTTGTGGCTCTGGTGATATCAGTAGAAAGAAGCACAAGCTAGGGAAGACGAAATGTTACACTGTAAAATAATGAGACAGACAGCAAATAGACCAAAATTATTTGACTATCTTTTTCATTGTACTGGTTCCAGATAAATCTGTGATACAAATCCCCATGGAAGACCATCTTAGGTTCAAGTCACGCTTTGCTCAGAAATTATATGAAGCAGAAATAGAAAGGATTCAGCTTACAAAGCTACTGAAAGACACAAAGTAGCCTTTCTTTTTTCAAATTTGCTATCCTTAGCTGGCAGTAAAACTTACACTGAAACATCAGAAAATAGACCATGTAGAAGCGAAGCAGTTGATTTCTTTGAAACTGGAAGCTGCATTTCTGTCTCTAAATCTGAACAGTGAATCATGATTTTTTATGATATTTAGTAGACTGCAGTTGCTGAAAATAGATCCATATACATTTTATACACCAATCCTGTGCCTCTGGATTTATTTATGTTTCAGCACAGAAAAACTAGATGTGCGCTTAGGGTATGATCTGTGCCAAGAAGAGCAAGAATTCTTGCAAAAAAGGAAGAGAGTGGTTGCCAGTGCCCTGAAAAGGGTTCTTCATCTGGAAAGAGATCTACATGGACACGAGGTCTGTGAGTTGGAATCCAAGCATGGGGTGTGGGTCTGTTGAATTAGGTTTGGCACAACTCCCCACAAAATTTCTAGTAGTTTTTGCATGTTGATGACAAACCCATTGATTTGAATGGCAGCAGAACAGAAGTTCTCAGTGTGGCATACCACATACTCATCTAAAATTTCAGCTCAGCTATTCATGCCTCCATTCTTTTCAAAGGGTCAAATTCCCAAGGACATAATATACCACCCTTCAAAGCCAAAGTTTCCAACAGTGTGATGCAGCGGGTCAGCAATATATGAGGCGTTGGTACATTGTGTTAGACACAGCCTAGCCAGACAACCCAAACCAAGTAGGAAGACAGAAGTATTTGAAATTCGCCTCATAGAGATATTATGAAATCATTGTAATGTCCCTTCTTTAGGCTTACGGCTTACCTTTTTTTTCATTTTCAGAACACTTTTCACAAAAGTCAATATTCTTTAGGGTAGCGAAAGAATATTTTATAACAAGCTCCAGCTGAAGTATGTTTTGTTGCCAAGATCCAGGATGAATTTTTAAGTGAACGTCTATTTTCTCGCTGGAATTATATTTGTTGATTGCATACTGTCCAAAGAATCGTTTTGTTTGCTTAATATATTTTTTTTGAACTCTTCTCAGGACTTCCTTGAATCCATTCTCTAATTACATTTATTGAAATTTTGTTAGTTATAATAAAATCTTATCATTATCTGTTATCAATCATTGCAATTCCAATTATAAAGAACAAGGGGAGGAAGGAAAGTTAAAATCACTGCATATTCAAACTCATCCAAGCTTTGGGATTAAGGGAACCCACTGAGTATCTGGAGGTGAATTTAAAGAAGGTACTGGTAAAGGCTGGCTGAATATTGATTTAATTTCATTGTCCTCCAATGAATTCTGCTGAGGAAATTATAAGAGCTGTAATTAGACTTTTCCAAGTAGGCAAGTGAGTAACTTTTTGAAGATAATACTTATGTTTTGAACAGGTCCCAGTAATAGCTGTTATGGCAACAGGTGGAGGCCTCAGAGCAATGTCAGCTATGTTTGGCCACCTCTTAGCTCTTCAGAAGCTAAATCTGTTGGACTGTGTTACCTATGTCACTGGGGCTTCTGGCTCAACATGGTGCGTATAGAAAATGAGATTTGTATTTGGAATGACTGTGACACTACATTTCCACACAGTGAGAGAGATGCCTCTCTTTCGAAGTCTTACATTGTTAATAAGTGAACGTAATTCCCTGGTAAAGCTATTACTGTTGGCTCTTGATCATAACTTCAGTTTAGGCTTGCTGATTCTCTTCTTTGGTGAAAGTAGTTGGGTAAATATAGTAATTTTCCAAACCATCCAAATAAATGGATGATTTTCTCACATTTCTTTAGGACCCTAGCAGACCTGTATGAACATGCTGACTGGTCACAGAAGTCTCTGGAGGGGCCACTTAAGGCAGTGAAAGAACAAGTGACAAAATGCAAGCTCAACCTTATGTCTATAGAGCATCTGAAGTATTATCACAAGGAACTTGCTGAAAGGGCAAAAGCAGGACATGTGTCATCTTTTACAACTTTGTGGTCACTTGTTCAGGAAATGTTCTTACATGAACGGGTATGTACATGGTCCTGCCACACATTTGGGAAACATCCACTCATTTTCTTTAGAGCTTTACTCTTTAAGGGCATGACGTAATGTGTGGAACAAATCCAAAATGACTGAGGCATCCCAGTGTGATTTGTAAATAATGACAGAGGATATTGTAGCCAGGATTTTCCAGGGTAGCCAATGGTTTGAAGGTGCCTCTGTTACCGGAGTGCCTAACAGCTAGCAACTTCAGTAGGCTAACTTTCAGAAAGAACTGAGCAATTCCCCCTGAAAAGTCAGGTCTTTTAAAGTCTGTTTCTAGTTGGACACTTCAGAGCTAGAGTAATCTGTCCTCACATGAACATTAGTCTCAGCCTTGGTAAAGATCTGTGGGATGCAGGCAATCGAGGCACTTGGATATTAATGAAGAGGTTAGTAGATATCAAAAAGGCAACCAGGAAGAAAAGTGCAGGAACAGGAAGGAAGAGGTCTCTCATAAAAATGCGACTCACAGATTCCCCTGGGTTGTAAAACATCTGTACTCAGGTAGATTGTGTCGGTGTTTCTGCGTTATGCACTTCCGGAGGTTTACTGTGATTTTCTTATCTCTTTGATTAGCCAAGAAAGTACAAACTCACAGACCAGCGCAGGGCATTGGAGCATGGACAAAACCCATTGCCTTTCTATGCAGTCCTCAATGTGAAAGAGGAAAAGTTCAGTACTTTCAAATTTAGAGGTAAATATTCATAGAGTTTCTTCTGACTCTGAGTAGGGACTAAAGAGAATTTGGAGGGAGGGTGCGTGTGTGTGGAGAATAAAATGGGAATACATCTGTTGCTTGCCCTGACTCAGTATTCATCTTTTAATAAAATGTTTGTCTTTTTTGTGAACTGCTGGGTGTTGATTAGAAAGAGCAGATCTGCTGGATAACATCCTCAGGCACAAACAGGGTATTTCTGAAGATCTGGGCTGAAGTTCTAGTTTTGCCACAGACATTGTGAGTGAGTGTGGGCAAATCATATGATCTTTTTCTGCCTCAGTTCCACACCTATAAAATGGCTTTGATGGTTCCTTAGTTTGTAGAGGTGCTGTGAAATGTAATTGTCACTTCCCCGAATACTACACTGATGAGGGTATGAAAATGGAGTGGAGTATGATTACTATGATGGGTGTGATATGACACCCTTTAAATGGAGACAGGCTACATTCAACAAAAGGTATTAAAATGAGCAGATACTGAAAAGAAAAAACAGTTAGTACTTACATTTGGTTAGGTTTGTAGCTACTGTTCTACTGCAATACCTGTACAGGACAGCTTGAATCAGGAAACTGCACAGCCATGCCCACACTGTGATACTTTCTAGTTTGGAGCTGATGTGTCCTCAGGCTGCTTTGTTATATCACGTAGACTGACAAGTTTGGGTTAGTAGAGGTTTCGTGCCAGTCATTCCTTGCAGGCTGGATCACACTTGCATGTTGTACATTTGATGCTCTTGATTTAGAGATGCAAGTGGGATCCCAGATTCTTTATATAGAAATATATATCTAAGCTTTTGAAACTAACGTTAGACTCTTTCTGAGCTGAAAAAGCTACTTTCTTTTGTATGCAAATCATCTCTCAGTTTGCATTGAACTAGGCAGTGTAGTTTGCAATACAAAGCCACTGATAGGACGGAGCTGCTGAGAAAAGGAAGATCCATGGAGCTTGTGGATAGCTTTATCCACAGGGGAAGGTTTTGTTTTCTTATTTTATTACAGTAAATATGCTATGTGTCAATTCTTTTGTAGAGTGGGCGGAGTTCTCTCCTTACGAGGTGGCCATACCAAAATACGGAGCCGCCATTCGTTCAGAATATTTTGACAGTGAATTCTTCATGGGAAGGCGAGTGAAGAAGCTGCCAGAATCTCGGATCTGCTATCTGGAAGGTGACCTAGCAGTGCAATATAGTTAATCACAACATGGTAGAAAGCATGGTGCTAGCTAGCCACTGGTCAATGTACAAAACTCCTTGCCAGCAGGTCTGCTCTAGGTCTTGATTCAATGGGCTTTGTACCCCTTTTGTACACTTCTGCTTTTTGTAAAGCTTCTTTCTTCCTGTCCTCCCTTGTAGCCTGGGCAGATTTGGGAAAGTTGCAGCATGGTTCCCCTTCCCATTTTCTGAACCAAACAAGAAGGTGGGGAAGGCAAGTTGAGGAAACAATAAGCCTTTCTTCCCTGACCAGTCATCAACTCTTCAACTTCATCAACTATATTTCTAGATAACACATTGCTGGGGTAGAATTGGAAGGAGCTGAAAATAAAATATAACTCATCTAGAACAACCCACAAAAGTGAGAACCATCTGGACTTCGTGGGTTGAGAATGGTGTCACTAATATTCCCTGCCCATAAGGATGAAGAAAGCCCTTTTAACCTCCAGCAACTGCTTTGACTGGCTCTTCTGCCTCTAAAGGCGAAGAAAAAGGGAAAAGCAGCTAGTCAGAGGAATCCACATGCCCCAGGCAGATTTTAAATCCTTGTCAGAATTTTAGCTTTTGATACAAAATAAAGGGTCCGGTGGAGAAAAAATTGTATTTCTCTCATTGTGAAGTCTGCTAGAGGTTGAATTTGTTCCTCATGTGAGTACCTGGCATGGGGCTTAATGACAAAGGACAGTTTGTTCTTTTCCAAAAGCAGACTCACATATGGAGCCAATTCTATTTTGATCCTGGACCAGTTGCGCTTCACAGAAACAAAACATGCCTGAAAGGAAAAAATGGGTCTTAGATAAATTTAAAGAATAAATCAGTTTAAAGAAGGGCCTTATGCTTATATGGCTTCACCATGCTTTCAAAGCCTGCTTTCTTTCCCAAGTACACAGTAGACACTCTAAAACGTTGTTTGGGTGATGGATACCACTTATTTTGTTACTCTGTACTATACAGTGGATGGTCTGTGTGTGGTTACCTCTTGAGAGAGAGCACTGAAGTGCTGACACCATTATTTTTGAACTCTGTGAGACCTACTGCTTAAGCTGTATCATGACAGGGTCAGTTCACATGGGCCAATAGTATGTAGCATGGATACTTGTAATAGCCAGTGGTTAATATGTGGTGGTGCAGTATTTTTCCCATGTGGTTTGACTTGCAGGTCTTTGGACAAACATCTTTACTAGGAATTTGCTGGATGGCTTGTACTGGTCTTCAAATTCCAATGAATTCTGGGAACGATGGGCCAAAGATATGGTAGATATAGGTAAGAGTTTCAAAATCAGTATTTATTTTTGATGAGACAGTGCTTCCTATTCAGAAGAGGATTAAGAAAGATACACTATTGCTACTGTTTGTGAATAATCTCTCACATGTTCTCCCTAAATTGCTGCATGTTGTGTTGCCTCACTGTGGATCTTTCAGCATGATTTTCACCTGTATCAGAATGATCACTATGTGATGTTTTCACCTTTATTTTATTTTATTTTATTTTATTTTATTTTATT